TTTATACGAAATATTGATTTTAAAAAAATGTTTTAAAAATATTGTCAACGATCCTATCCTCCCTTCGGTCTCAATAAAATAACAGTCCAAGACTTTCTGGATTAATATTCTTTTTTCTCCTTTTCTGTTGTTCCTCCCTCCCTCCCTCCCTCCTTTCTACCAGATCGTAAAATAACAAGCTTAGTAACTTTCGACTCGTCCTGTACTCGAACGATTTGCGATCTAACTTTCTTGTATTGTATTACCGCAATTAAGTCGAAGAATAAAAAACGAAATCATAATTAACTTGCGTATCTAGCGTAAAAGAGAGGGAAAAAGAAAGAAAAAAAAAAAAAAAGAAAAAGAGAAAGAGAAAGAACGCAGAGGGTGAAAGAGAATCGACGAATATAAAAGTGTACGTAAAAATAATGTAAATACGAATTTAAAAAAAAAATCAATAACTCCTTATCAAGACTATCTTTCATTGTATCATTTTCGTTCATTTTTTTTTTTTTTTTTAATATCATAAACAATCATTCCATGAAATAAATAAATGGGAACGAGTATAATGTATACGAATATCTTGATTTATAAATAATTAAAAGCTACACACACACACATATATATATATGTATTTGCATAATCAAAGCATACATTTCATTATAAATATCGAGACATTTATTTAAAACAATCGATTGAAAGTATTTTAATATACTAACCTATTTCGCCTGCCTCCCTCTCATTCTCCCATCCTTCAATTTTCAATAAATAACAGTCAAGATTTTTTTTCAGCTAATTTTTCTTTTCTCTTTCTTTTTCTCTGTTCATAAAACAGCGCTTCAAAAACAAGTTTGCAAAAAAAAAAAAAAAAAAAAAAAAGGAACTTTTGACTTATACTGTACCCGAAGAACGATTTGCGATCTAACTTTCATGTATTGTATTGCTCGAATTAAGTCGAACAATAAAAATGAAAACATAATTAACTCGCGTATCTAGCGTAAAGGAAAGAAAGAGATGGATATGGAGATAGACATAGACATAGACATAAACAGAGAGAAAGAGAGAGAGAGAGAGAGAGAGAGAGAGAGAGAGAGAGAGAGAGAGAGAGAGAGAGAAAAGATAATCAACAAAGAGGGTGAAATGTGAATCAACGAATATAATAGTAACACCAAATTGATTTAAATCTCTAAAACTGTTTAATATGTGTATATAAATACCGTGATAAATACTCACGTGATAACATATATGCGTATGTATATATTACATATGTATATATATATATATGTGTGTATGTGTATGTGTGTTTATTTTACTTATACAAAGTAATAAGTAGAGCGAAAAGCTGTCACGATGACTCGTTCGAATTTAAAAGACATATGTATAATCAACACTTTATCTCGGTCAAAACGCAATCCACTTCGTGTCAAACGCGTTTGTAGATTTTTCTTAAAATATTAAAATAATCACAACTGGTGTTACTTATATACGCAAATGAGGATAAATTTATTCGTACATCGTAATTGTAATTGTAATTGTAATTATAATTATAATTGTAATTGTAATGGCAAACGTATTTGTTATTGGGTAAGTACGAGTGTGTTCTCTTTCGTTACTTTTTTTTTCCTCTCTCTCTCTCTCTCTTTTTTTATTTCCTTTTTTTTTTTTTCCAAAGACAATGACTAAAAAAGAGATTGCAACGATCGATGTGCTTTGTCGTTTGTGAAAACTTGAAAGCTGCTTCTATTTCTGTAGTTAATAGTGAACGAGAGAAAGATAGATAGGAAAAGAAAGAGAGAGAAAGAGAAAGAGAGAGAGAGAGAGAGAGAGAGAGAGAGAGAGAAAAGAGTTACTATTACCGATCCAAAGTCCTCTTTGCAGTGGTCCATTGGGAAATGATCTATTTTTACCGTATAAAAGTAAGAGCACACGAAGGAATATATATATATATATATATATATATATATATATATATATTCTTTATACCATTTTGAAACGAAACATAAAGAGAGAAAAATATCTAGAAAATACATCTTAACTTCAGCTTTCAAAGAAATACGTAAGTATGTATCATTTTTACACCTCTTTCTTTCATCTATTATTCTTTAATATCGAAATGTATATTAAAATACTATAGCATAATATTGGATTGATTAAGAAAACATGTCGAACATCGTATTATTTTGTATTTAAATAAAAAAGAAAAAAACAAAAAAGAAAAACAATTATAATATATATATATATATATATATATATATATATAATTAATAAATATATAAATAAATAAATAAATATATTTACTTTTTGTTCTTTAATTCGGCCAACGTAATACAATACTATTTATATTATACTGTTCTATCAATTAAAAATAATTCTATAGATTAATATTATATTTTTCAATTGATCGATACATAATATTGATAATGTCGGATTTTGTAATATTTTAATATTTAAAAAAAAACTAGAACTTTGTTTTATTAAAAAAAAAAAAAAAAAAAAAAAAATAGAGTATGGTATAGAATACTATACTACTATTTTTAAATAGACCAATAAATAATATTAGAATTTTCGATAATTAATATTATATATCTAGTGTTGTTTATATTTAGAGATAAAATAATACGAATTCCGGCATTTAATTATTGATCAATCTAATAATAATAATTTATAAAATAACTAAAAGAAAATATATATATATATATATATAATGTAACAATAAAAACTTTTGTTTTTTTATTAATAATATTTTTATTTAAAATAAAAGATAGATCTTATCTGAGTAAACAAAAAAAACCACCGGTATCACGTGATCGAGCGATGATCTATCAAGGCAATAATTTATCTTTACTGCGCCACACGAGACAGAGAAAATTAAATCTCACAACCGGAGATGTGTGAACTTTGTACCATGAATACACACACACACACACACACGCACACACACATATACACTCACACGCACATAAATACATATGATCTTGACTTTTGACTGTAACATCAATATTATTTTCGAGCTCTCGAAACATATTCTTCTCCTTGAAGAATGATTTCCATGGAATCAATTGCATTCAAAGAATTGTTTACGTTGATTTTATCTACCCAAACATCGATTTCTAACTAATCTATATATCTATATCTATATATATATATATATATATATATATATATATATATATATATATATATATTTTTTATTTTATTTTTCTTTTTTTTTTTTTACACGTATAAATAATAAAAATACACGGGTTCTAGATTATTTACGACGGTATTATATCCAATAAAAAGGAAATATTATTAAAAATATTTACAAATCACATGTAAATACAAAATTATTATAATTTTATTCATTATTCATTTTCTTCATAAACCTAAGTTATTGCTCTTAAGATCTCATTAATATTCTATTATAATTATCGAATACATTCTTGTCGACGAATATAAAGAAGACATGTTTACGAAAAATTCTTTATCTTATTTTTTTTTTCTTTCTTTTTTTCTTTTCTCTTTTTTCTTTTTCTTTCTTCTTTCTTTTTTTTTTTCTTAATTTTGCTCAACCATAATGACATTTTAAAAACCACTGTGCGCGCACTGTCTTCGTGTTTAACACGTTTCTAACAGATGTATGCTCCTCGGTAATGTAATGCTAGCACGAACAGCATACTAAAAGTATGTAGGACAGAATACGCTTGGTATATTTCGTGGAAACATAAATCTCTTTTTGGGGCCACGTGGCCCACTCTAAAGATCTACCACTGCTTTGTTTTGTCGATTTCCTTATGGGTCCTTAAAACTCATATTGAATATATCCGAAAGGAATCCCAAAAAAAAAAAAAAAAAAAAAAAAAAAAAAGGAAAAGAAAAAGAAAAAAAAAAGTTGATCAATTTTTCATAATTTTCTTTTTTCCTTTATAATTGTATTCATTTATTTTTACTGTTTATTTATTTTTCTTCAATATCGAAAAATAAGCAATAAAAATTTCCTTCTTTATCGATCATTATGTGATATTTTTTACAAGCAGAAAAAAAAAAAAAATATATATATATATAAGGTACATATATATTTTTGTTTTGTTTTTCGTTATCAAATATCTAAAAATAAATGGAACAATCGAATTTAACGCAAAATCCTTTTGCACGTTGCGAATCGTGCGAGATAACAAAATCACGATTGATCGTAATCCTTATCGGATTCTTGGAAATCCTTCTCTATCGTATATATATATATATATATATATATATATATATATATATATATCGCGAATGATTATTTCCCTTTTAGATCCAAGTGAAAACTTTTACAACATTTTGCCGTTCTCACGGTACTCACGGAGGCAAATGAAAAAATTTTGTTAAGCGGTGAGGAAAAATTATCGAATGACTTCATTTTTAAGACAATATTAAGTTTAACATTATCGGAAAAATGAAAAGTTTCAAGGATTGTAGTTTTGCAATTGGGGAAAACAAAAGAGGAAAAGAGTAAAAAAGTAAAAAAAAGAAAAAAAAAAAACAATAAGAAAATAGCTCGAAAAAGTTTCGATGATTAATTTTATAAAACGATCTATGAATTTTTCCCTGACCTTCCCATTCCCATCCTACCCTAATCTTTCTATAAGAGAACAAATTTTTCTAAAGGAAAATAGTCTCATAAATAAAAGAATTCTGAAAACACATATTCACCCTCTTTTAAGGGTATATACACACACATACACACACACCTACATATATATATATATATACACTTGGTGACCTTACTATCTTCAATTTATCTGCTCAATTTTCTAGGACATTTGGAAGCTTGCCACGGACGAACTCATTGATTGAAATTGTTAAGGTCGCAAATGTCGTATCGTTCGGAACTAAAAAGATATGGTGAAAAAGGGGTGGGGGAGGGGGAAGTGAACGAAGGAAGAAGAGAGAGGGGGGAGTGAGAGAAAGGGAATGGAAGAATTGGAAGAAATACTTTTTTTATCGCGTCTACAAACTTATTCAAGAAAAAGTTTATTCAAATGACACTATACTTCTGCCTTCTTCTTTATCTTCATTTTCTTCTTCTTCTGCTTCTTCTTCTTCATCTTC